GTGTGTGTGTGTGTGTGTGTGTGTGTGTGTGTGTGTGTGTGTGTGTGTGTGTGTGTGTGTGTGTGTGTGTGTGTGTGTAAATATTTGACAGCGTGCCAGAAGGCTCGCACCTCTGTAGTGTAAATAACAGCAGTGTGACATCGGCCGTTGATAAGGGGTCTCTCTCTGGGACCTCCAGACTCTGACTCTCTTCATCTCCCTCTCTCCTACTTTCCATTCCCGTCTCCCTCTTTCTCCCTCAGCAACCGGTAATCACCCTGGAGGGAAGTGTGGCTTGCACGTTCTCCCGGGAAGGCATCAATGCAGTCACTGTGCAGGTGTCCGCAGGGAATATTATTCTGCAGGACAGAAAAGCCATCGCAGTCCACGGTGAGCCAACTCTGAAACTCCACCTCCGCTGGGAATTTGTATCTCTGTAAACACAAGTTCACTCAACACTTTACTTAGTAAGACTCAAATAGATTTTACTTTGCAGTATACCATGTTGTGTTTTTATACACATTTGACAAACAAACAAAACAGACAATAGACAGCCTCAAGGCTCCATTCATTCAAAAACAATTTAAATGTGCCCCTACAAATATAATAAAATGTGGGAAACACTGGATAATAATAATAATAAATCATTATTTTTTTTTATTATTTTGAATCATCTCGCGACCCCCCCCTCGGGGACCCCGACTTTGGGAACCCCTGAATTAGATTATTTAGTCACTTATTACAAACCACAGTTTTTATGACACATTGACACTTCAGAGATTAACGAGTGGGGTATTTTATTAAGTTCATGTTCATTAACAAAATGTGAACATCTCTTAAGCTTATGGCACAGACCTTATTACAGACTTCTAACCACAAACACGTTTAAGTGATAAAATGCTGACTAGTTTCAGGGTTTTAAGACTCATTACCGCACCACTCTATGTTGCTCTGACTTTTTTATCTGAGGGATGGCCGCTGGAACACATTTCTTTTGATACCCGTTTTTTTGTAAAGTATATCCTTTATCGTTTGTGCAGAAGGAAAAAACAAAAATTCACTGTGCAAAGGGTAGGGGCTGCCGTTGTAACCCTTGTCTAAAGGGATCCTAGGTGAAGATGTGATTCACCAATCAACCTTTTAAACCATTTAATTATTAACCCTATGTTATTACCTCTGCAATAAGGTTTGGTTTTTGGCTCGGTTTGTGTGTTTGTTTTTTCTGTTTGTCAGCAATATTATAGAAAACTGGTACAAGATTTTCATTTATTAGGTAGAAGACTGATAGACTGCATTTATATCAGTTTTTAGGTACGCAAATTATGATTCACATTACAAGATATGGCATTTAAGTTGCATTCATATATTGTCGGAATAATGGGCAAAACAAAAACCCTACTGAGAAAATATATTGGCTTTCCCAATGGTCTGCACTTTTTGCATGTTTTTTTAATTTATTATTCTATAGTTATTTATAATATTGTACTTCCCAAGCGTTACCACTTTCCATGAATCGGCTTGTTCATGTGAAAAAGATTTGTTATGAAGTCTTGTAAATAATGTATCAAGTATACATAAATAATTAAGCAACTTTTACCAACTGTTTACTAGATTATACACAATGCAATAAAGTATTAATAGAGGTTTTTATGACAACATAGTTCAGCAGTACTTGAAGAGATTTGAAGACACTGGCGATAATATGGAATTATACTTGAAAGATGGTCTTAGATTTTGGTCCACCTGAGCTAAGGATAAGTAAAAGTAGCTCAAACAAATGTATGTTCCTCCTTGCAGAATATTTCCGCTCTCATCTGCTCGCCTTTTCATCAAACCTGGACGACCACAACCCTGATGTTGCAGAATGGAGGCAGGACGTGAGCCGAGTCATCAAGAAGTCTCTGATCCAGGTAACGCTCTCTCAGGTCTTCTCATGGAAACCGATGCTTTCCTCCAGTAAGTGCTGTCAGCGCTCGCCTGGACCTCTGACGGTCTATTAGTGCAGCCTGACCTCCCTACGGCTCTGAGACATGAATCTGACTTTTATGATGATAAATGACATGGCAAGATGGAATAGAGGGGGGAAAATACAGTTCAAGAGCATGCTGATTGCAGTGGCTGGCACACACTTGGAGTTCAGGGCCATACAGTAACAAGGCTGGGGATGTTGTGTACAGAAGGATAAATGTCACTCGGTGCCTGCACTGACCTGAAAGGACGCGAGTGCTTTCAGACATGTGAAATGTAAGACATGATTCAAACTCCCAGCATGCAATGTGAGGTATAGATTTTTGCCTCATTAACTTTGTTTGTTACAACATCTGCTGAACGTAGATTCTTTATTCCTAGCAACAAGCAATCTGGGCCTTGCAACACACTTTTTCTTTATCATGCAAAAATCAAAATTGATGCCAAAAATATACTCGGCTTTTCAGTCTTCAGTGAACACGTCTGTTTTTGTTATTTGTTACCGACATCATTTCAATCAGGAGAGACAGTTTTGATGTAAGAATACATATTTATTGCAAAGATACACAAATGAATGTAATGGTGATTTTGGCGATTAGTCCCTGTTGTGCAGGAAGTATCATTCGGGAGGGTAGAACCGATCCGATGGAACCCCCCTGGGGTCTAGACACTGGTGGTGGTGAATAGATGGTTGGGTTCGGTCTGAAGGGGAGTGGCTTAGCTTGACCCTGGATTCAGAGGGACAGGAGGTGAAAAGGGGTGGAGGAGGGTTGCGTCGAGTCACCTGAAATGACTGCTGTCAGAGGGGAGAGCAGATTTAAAAGGTTTGGCAGAGCGCTATGATAGGCTCTTGGGAATAGAGCGAAGTGATTGGTTAAGCTGTGGAGTGACGCCCCCGATCACTTATTGAGAGGAGGGAGAGTAGTTACGTAGGAATAGTGAATAGACAGTCTTCCTGGTTGAACTTACGCTGAGCTTCATTTGTTCATTCATGATCTTAACAAAGGACCCTGCACTGAAAAAACTGAAATGTAGATTCAACAAATGTCACATACATGTATTTAGTTAGTTGAAATCAATAGGTTCAACTTAATATTATTGCTTTTAACTAAACTAATAACTAACTAATATAGTTATATGAAATGTATTGACATAATTATAGTTTTGCTAAACTATGGTACTTTTTTAAATGTCCTACTTTGCCTATTTTTAAATCTCGTTTAAAGTTGTACTTGTTCTCCCGTGCTTTTGCAGACCACGTATAAGACTTATCAATCCTGTATGAGAGTTTTTCAGTCTGTGGCTATAGGTTTGGTTTTATAGTCTCGTGTTTTTACATTAGTTTTTTGTCCTACCAGTTTTGTCTAAATGTATTTATGCTGCTTTTTATATATTTATTGATGCACAGCACTTTGGTCAACTCTGTTGTTTTTAAATGTGCTATAAAGTTGGATTGGATTGGATAGTACGATATCTGACACTTCTCCCCCTCTGCCTACAGGCCACAGGCGTGCACAAGGATCAGATCTTGGTCACCATCCTCCCAGGTTTACCTACAGCTGCAGAGTTTTTCCTTCTACCCGACAAACAGCTCACTGAGGGCAAAGCGGAGAAGAGCTCTGCTCATTTGGATCAGGTGAGTCAACAACCTGCTCCCTCTGCTCCTGTTTGCAGCACCAGACACTGCATGTCTGGGCGGATATATTTCCCCTTGTTATCCTCATTGAAATTCCACCATGCTAAAGTTTGAATCAAATTGTTGCTTTTTCCTGCCTTTGTGAGTCATGGCTTGATCCCTTTTGTTGCAGCAGCAGCTTGTCCAGTAATTGCTCCCTGAAAAAAAAGTTCCTCCTTCCTCCAGCAGATGTCAGTATTGTTCCGTTGAAGCCTTTCCAGGTCTTTCGGCGAGTCTAATTTTAGAACACGCCTGAGGAATCTCTGCAATTGACTCATCAATAAGCCTGACAAGTATTAACAAGTTATCACGGTGAATGGCTTTTAAACTCCCTCTAGTCACATCCTGTGGGGGGGGGGTTTGAGGCAGG